TGATCCTCAGATCTCAGCCTCCTGAGTAGCTAGGATTATAGGCATGAGCCACCAGTACCCAGCAGATGTGGTCTTTTCATGTTATTTTTTCCCTCTATTCCCTCCTACCTTTCATCTGCAGCCCCTTTCTTTGGCTAAAAAACAAAAGCAACTGTATTTTTAGTAATATATTTACTCACTAGAATTCTATGTTCCTTTGCCTAATTTAAAATGCTTATGAGTAGAATCTTTTCTGCCTTTCCTGCTTCAAGCTAAGTTGAATTTCACTTGAAGGTGGTCACTGAGATTATAGGTGGAGTGCCAGAGAAACGTTCTTGCTCCTTCTGAGGCCTCTGTTCTGATGCTTACCAACCACTTTGCCCGTGGAGCAGCCACTGTAGATGAACTGCTGGCCTGTGCTATGAGTTGGGGAGAATCGGCAGCGGATAAGGGTGTGTAGCACCCCATGGCCCCTGTATGTCATCAAGGAGCTGTCCCCTGGGAGCTTCAGCTTCCGCCAAGCTGGGGAAGGATGAACAAGAGAGCATTAGATTAGGGAGTATGGTTTTTTTCTTTTTTGTCAGTCATGGGGCCTGAACTCTGGGACTGGGTGCTGTCTCTCAGCTCTTCAGCTCAAGGCTAGAGCTCTACCACTTGAGCCACTGTGCCACTTCTGGTTTTCTGAGTGGTTTATTGGAGATAAGAGTCTCACAGACTTTCCTGCATAGGCTGGCTTTGAACAGCTATCCTCAGACCTCAGCCTGCTGAGTAGTTAGGATTACAGGCATGAGCCAATGACACCCTGCTTTGGGAAGTCTGCTTTTGGTTTGCCTTATATCACTTATCTTTTTAAAAGATCAACACTCAAAGATAACTGCCTAGCCAGGCTTCAACTGTTGACCTCCTACCCAGGCACCAATCCTAGGAATCCCTGTATCTCAACAATAAAATTCATGCCTTGAAAAAATGACTGATGGAAGGGTTCCAGGACTCATAGAAAATAGATAAATTCACTGTGCCCATGCCAGGCCTTACCAGAAATGATTTTAATTACCACCCTTGATGACAATCAGAAGATTTCAGTTCTACTTCTACTCTCACCTTTTTTGGGTACCTGCTGCCAGCGATAGTCCCAGTTTTGCTGTGTGGCAGCCTGGCGTGAAGCTTCCATGCCTTCCCGACTAGAAAAGCGTCGGATATCCCAGAGTTTGATGGTCTGGTCTTTGGAGTTGGAGATGAGATACCGGGCATCACCCTGATTCCAAAAATGGATGGAAGCATCAGAGACTGCCAATGTCAGTGCCTATCAGTCTAACTCCCTTGCTCTAGGGTAAGAACTCCAGTGCTCTGACTTTGCTGCTCTGTCTCTTTTTTGTGTGTGTGCCAGTACTGGGCCTTGTCTCTGGATACTGATAGTACCTGGGGTATTATCTCTGAACTCTTATGCTCAAGGCTAGTGCTCTACCACTTGTGCCACATCTCTGCTTCTGGCTTTTTGTGTGATTAGAGATAAGAGTCTCACGGACTTTTCCTGCCTGAGCCAGCATCAAACCTTGATTCTCAGATATCAGCCCCCTGAATAGCTAGCTCAGCTTGTTTCTTTATCTCCAGTGAACTTCACACTGATGTTTGGTTTCAGATCCCACCACTGAATACATTTTCCATTCTTTACCCAGGACACTGGGTGGGTCATTTATTGCATCCTGTATTATGAGATTATTCTACTTTTCCTGTAAAGAAAGCCCTGCCTTGTTCCTTATAGACTGGTGGGTACAGAAGGGGCTCATGTTTCCTACTTAAGCCTTTCATTAAAGTCTAGCTCTTGCACACCTTTGGTTAATGAGGAACGTGTCAAGTTCCAATCCTAACCCACTTTTATGCCCTCTTGGGCAATAAGAACCTTGGAAGCCAGGCGCCGGTGGCTCACACCTGTAATCCTAGCTACTCAGGAGGCTAGGATCTGAGGATCAGGGTTCAAAGCCAGCCTGGGCAGCAAAGTCCGTGAAACTCTTATCTCCAATAAATCACCAGAAAACTGAAAGTGGCGCTGTAGCTCAAGTGGTAGAGTGCTTGCCTTGAGCTGAAGAGCGCAGGGACAGCGCCCAAGCCCAGAGTTCAAGCCCCACAACCGACCAAAAAAATAAATAAAATAAAATAAAAAAAGAACCTTGGAAGTCTAGCTGTGTAGCCTGGTCTCCCTGCCCACCTTGCTGTCAATGAAAGTGATGCCATCCTGGTGTCCAGCCAGTGCACCCACAGGCTTGGGGTCATCCTCCCGCATGGTGCGGCGATCCCACACCTTGCAGATGGCATCATCTCCCCCAGAGAACAGGATTTGGGAACTTATATCAGCAAAGGCCACTGCGTTCACATCATCCTCATGAGACTCAATCTGGGAGAGAAAGGAACCAAGACATTTAAGGTTTCTTTCTAGTCTTAAAACAAGCTAAACCAGGAGGAAGAGGTCCTAAGTCTCAGAAACAATACCTGAAGGGTACGCCGATTTTGTTCACGATCAAAGACATATAGGCAGCCATCATTGGCCCTATAAGGAAGAGATAAGGAGGGTCCAGAAGCCAGGACTGAGAGAGCTCATACTATGTATGTTCTGGAGTGTCCTGCTGAGAGGTCTTACTGAGGAGCCTCTGTATGTTATGTGTGTATATATATGTGTGCATGTGCGTGTGCATGTGTACAGGCACATACACACAAGAATTCAGGGCCTTGTACTCTTGCTTAGCCTTTTTTTTTAGCTGCTGCTGGTTCTCTACCACTTGAGCCCCACCTCCATTTCTCTCTTTGTTTGGTTAACTGAAGCTAAGAGTCACTCAGACTTGTCTGTCCAGGTGAGCTTCAAACTGTGATCCTCAGATCTCAGTCTCCTGAGAAGCTAAGTCACAGTCATGTGCTACCAGGACCCAGCCATCCCTTTCTGTTCTTGCACAGGAAGTAGGAGAGGAGTTAGCTTTTTTCTTTAAAGGAGGCTTGAGACTTGTTACCTCATACTGGGGCAATGGTAAGTAACTAAATCTAGTATGGTAAGAAAGTAAGCCTGTAAACCTTGACCTTGGAGAAGTCAAGTAGTTCTCTATAGTTGCCAGTGTAGTCTCTGAAAAACAGAATCAATCTCTAGCAGAACTCCTACCTCATTAATTGAGGGACACATTGTTCACACTCACCCTCCCAGTACTTCTCGTCCATCAGAGGAGACAGCAATGGAGAAGACAGCAAAGCGACGCTCATCTGGCCTGCGGAGAGCAAAAAGGGAGCTGTGTTAAGTGATGTCCTTTTCAAGCTTTCATTAACTTACAGAGAAGCTGTGAGGATTAGAAAGAAAAGAATAAACCAGGCCTGCTGGCACATGCTACAATCATCTCAGTAAGAAAAGAACTCAGAACAATGCTGAAACCATCTTTTACCCTGGTCTTCTGGCTAACAGAATAGGCAGGAATTCCCAGGATTCACACAGAAACTTGCAACTATTATACTTTTTTCTTAAAGTGGGAGTTTCAGTTCAAGAAGTTTGCTCCTGGAGAGCCTTGCTTTAAAAGTTTCTATAACTATGAGGAGAAAAGGAAGCCAGTACCTTAGATCCAGGGCAGTGTGTGTGTCTCCTTCCCCATAGATGTTGCAGATATGAACTAAGACAAGAGAAACAAAAATCTTTCATGGATGGGGGACTAAGAGTGGAAATGAAACTAAGAGAACAGGCCATGTCTGGTGGCATAAGCCTGTAATTGCAGTACTCAGGAGGTGGAAACAGGATTGTGAGTTTGAGACCAGTCTGGGCTACAAAGCATAATGTCCTTTTTCAGAACGTCTCTCTCTCTCTCACACACACAGAAATGAAACAAATAACAACAACAAAACCAGAATCAAGGGCAAGAATGTCAGAGCACCTTAAAAATGATTTTCCCAGGGTAAGGCATGAAGGCCTGTCTCAGAGAGGGCTTGTCTTAAGTCCCAGGCTGGAGAATCTTATGCATACTCACTGTAATCAGACCAGCTAGAGTAGAGGAAGTGGTTTCCATCAGGGGTGAAGGCCACATCCAGAACACTCCAGCCTACATCCCGGGCCTTGATGCTCTTGAATTTATGGAAGCGGCCATACTGGCAGTCATATAGTCGAATTGTCTGGTCTGTAAATACAGGGATCAGGCAGAATTATGAAGTAGGCTTCCTAGATCTATATCATTCAGTGTGTCTGTGGAGTCTCCCCTTTACCATGGGAAACATACACTAAGCATCTATAAGCCAAGTTTTGACCTCCCTGGGTCTGGGGCATTCTAGTCTACATGAAGGGGAATGTTCCTTGTTTTATAGGAAGGCAGTTTAATAGGACCAGGGTCTGGTACCTTGGCAAGCAGACATGAATATTTGACCGTCTTTGCTGTAGACGCCACAGAAAGCCTTCTGAGAGTAGGTATCAATGAAGCCCAGATCATTGGGCAAGAAGCTGGTGAAACAGAGGGAAGGAGAACTCAGGAGCAGAATGGACTATCAGTACATTCCTTTTTGGCTTCGTGTATAATTGTCTTTCATTCATTCCATCATCCTCAAAAATGACTGCTTTTCTACTTGTTCACTCTCAAAATTTCAAACCCCTTTAACTTAACCTTAATGCCACTGAGGATTGTTTCAACTCTACCTTCTTTTAAAGCTTAAGAGATTAGACCTATCTGGCCTTTTGAGTCTCTCAACCAAACCCCATACTCACTGAGACATCACTTGAGACTGTTCTCCAAGGGAGAAGCTTCCCTGGTGGCAGAGGCCCCGTTCTCTCTAAATGGAAGGGATTGGAGATATTGCTAGCAGAAAGAGAGAGCTACTTCAGTCAAACCCCCTCCTCCAAGGATACTGCTCTTGCTCAGAAACGGAGATCCCACAGCACGTTGAAGCAGGCTAGCTAACTCTCTAGCCCCTTTCCTTGGGAAGTTTTCTTCCTTTTCCTCTGGGACTGGCAGGACTTCTGACTGCCTCAGCAGGACTGCTGCAGGCTGGCTGAAGGTGGCGCGGCCTACCTGGTACAACATTCGAGGAAAGCTGCGTTCCTGGGCTGCCCGCCTAAGTCCCAGCTGCCCTGTTGCCAATTCCACCTGTGTCTTGATTTCATTGCATTCCAGCTCCCTGGTGTCAGGGGTTGCATCCACTGAGAACAAAAAGATTCATCCACTATGAGTACCAAAAAGATCTTCCATGCCTACAAGACAGCTAGCAAAATTTGTGTCCAAGCCCAATCAATAATGTTGAATGTACTATGGCTGAAGGGTCTCTCTCACATATTAAATGATTTTTATCTTCTTGAATTTGGGGATTTCTAGTGAAAGTCTCTTCCATGGTAAAGCCTCAGACTATCTTTCCTCTTACCAGGTGGGTTGTATCGATCCCCGAGACGACCATCCCAGGCACTGTCATGCTCTTCCTCCGAGTCCGAGAGGGCCTGAATGAGTTGTAAGTTTGCTGCACCTCCTCCCTGCACCAACCTCACTTGTCCTCTGTGGAGAGATCCCCATTATAAAGGAGGGGACCCCTTTCCCAAGTCAACTATGTTTAGAGTCAATGGCTATTCGTTCCTTAACACATTTGGTACTATTTTCAATCATCTGTAAGACACAGTGGGAATCTGACTTATACTCTTAGAGCAAAAACACAGAAGTCCAACATGCTGTGGAGATTAACCTACTAAGTTGAGTTCCCAGAGAGCTAAAAATTCTCCCTCCTCAATCTGGTAGTGCAGGGATTGAACTCAGGACCTTATACATTCTAGGCAACACTCTCTACCACTAAGCCAAAGAGCTAAAAAATCTGAGAACATTTATATCTTAAATTCTGCTGGAGGAATACAGCATTGAACACTAAATTCTGAAGGGATCCTAAGGCCCATCTTCTTTCCAAGGAACCATAATCAAAGAAACAAAGCCAGCTGCACCCTTTGGTGGTTCACTCCTCCAAAGCATTCTTTTCTCTTCTCAAAAACAAGGTTATAGTTAGGTCAATTTAAACTTGTTTTTCAAGTAAATCCACACAGCCTCATATCACATATCATGAGCTTTATAACACCCCTTCCCCAACTTTTGCCTTTACCTCTCACATCTCTCCTTTCCTACTAGGGCCCTCTTTTTCCTCTTCCTTTACTTAGTTGGAAAATAGGTTACATTCGTGTAGTTATAGCCAGGGAAGCTCCCCTAAGCAGCTTCTCAAGCACAAGAGGGGGGTCCTGCTGGTGACCTGCCCTAGGTAAGAATCACTCTGAGTGTGGAGATGAGTGCCATGGGTATTCCCTGGGAAAGTCGTTCTGAAAACATAATAATCCTAGGGTTTGCATTTTGGGATTATATTTCCTATTCTCTGTAATTTTCCTGCTTGGAGTTGAGAGCAGGGGACTGTGGTGGCACCCAGTGGGGTCACTCCAGAGGGTAAGTTACCTGCGGAGGAGATAGGCCAGTACCTGGGCCAGATCCACATCTTCATCCTCCTCCTCTTCTTCCTCACTCCGACGCAGGCCAGCCCCTCTTCGGGACAAGCCCTCGGAGGGGTCTCCAGACCCGGATCCTGCGCTGCTGCTGTTTCGGGATCCCATCTTCTGGTCACAGCATCCTTAAATCCTGTGCAAGGGCTTTTCCTGTCACCTCCTTGAGTTTGGTGAAAGCAAAGCCTGCTCTAGAAATACACGGTCTCCTGAAATAGGGTGGTAGTTATCATTAGGGTGGGGGGGATGACCCTTCCTAGGGACTAGGATTCCTTCTCTTTAGCCTATGACAACTCCCAAGGCTCCAGGAACACAAACCTTTCTCAACCCTGTAGAAAGAAAGAAAGCAGAAAGAAAGAAAGCACAACCCTAGTTTACCAATAAGAATCCTCTGAAAAGGAATTTCTCAGTTTCCTACCTGAAACTCACCTATCCAAGTCCCCTGAGGGGGTGGATTCCCAGGTAACCTCTCCGGCCCACCAATCAAAACCTCTCAAGGAAGAAAGCGTCTCTTAGCTAATCTCATCTAGCCAATCAGAAGCCTTAGGATTCAGAGACCCCCCGACGCCCCCCTCTCAACCAATCAGAGTGCTTTCTTGTGGGTAGCGACAGCCAATGACGCTAGAATTTGGCCTAACACCCACTCCTTAGCCTCACGCCCACGTGGTGTGCCGGGGGTGTGTACACCACAAGGAAAGAGGAAGCTGATAAGCACCTCCCCCTGCGGTTACCCACCAGCCAAGAGCGGTTTCTGGACGCGCAAGGGCGCAAGGGCGGAAGGCCTTGTTTACACCGACTGCCGCTTCAGCAGCAGCCAACCACAACCACTCCACGGTCACGAGCCTCCGGCGTCACGTATCTCCGGGCTTCCGGGCCGGCGGGCGGACGACGTCACGTGACACCAGTGGTGGTCCCGCCCCCTTAGCCCGCTGACTGGATAGGGGAGTCCCGTGATTGATAGGTGGGCGGGAGGAAGTGTGGGAGGGGACTTGAGGACCAGAGTAAGAGCTTGTGCGTGGAGGGGCTTGCGTGTTTAGTGGGTGATCTAAGCGGAATTGTCAAGCTTACTAGATAGAGATAGCGTAATGGCTGGGAGGTGGAAGTATTTTTTCAAGAGCGAACCGTTTGCTTTGGATCCCTTAAGATTGGCCTTGAACTCGGTCGACCCGGCCTGAAGGACTGGCGCCTCAGCGTCACAGATGGGGATCACCTTCTGGGAAGCCTTTTTCTTGTGGAAATGGCCCTTTGTAGACTGTTCCTTAAACGCTCTGTCCTTTTTTTATTTTTTGCTCTGTCCTTTTTTAGACGATCCCTTTACGGTCTTTGCAGACGGTCCCTAATACTCTCGTCCCACCTCCTCTTCGCCTTTCGGAGGCACCACTTCCTTTAGACGCCCCCTGGCGCTCCGGGATTTGCCGACCTTCCCTAAGCTCTGCGTGCCGGCGCTCCGCCCCGCGCCGCGGGTCGTCCGCACGTTCCGGCGTCGCGAACCTTGGGCGCCTTTGGGTTTATGAGTAACAGGGCGGGAGTTCAAGGTCGGGATCGGCCGCGTCCGAAACCCGGGCGGGGGTTGGGAGGTGTGGCTTCCCCGGGTTCGCGCTGCGCACCAGCCCCTCTCCCAGCGGGGTTGCGATCCCCCCCAAAGCGGGTCGCGGCCCCGAGCCCCCCGGTTCCCAGCGGGGCCGGGGCGCGGTGCGCCGCCCTGCTCCTCTCTGCCCTGCTTCAGCGAACGGAGCTGTGCACACAGAAGAGTCCCGGGCCTCCTTCAATGCTCCGCCGTCGGCGGCCATTGAAACCAGCGCCACAGGCCTCGTTTGCCGGACTCCACTAACTGCGGGCAGTTCTGTGCATTAGTACTTATGGAGATTAATATTTCGTGGTTTCTGGGTTATGCAGCCTGGAAAACTCGGGGATCGTTTATGAAGATGATTTCTCCCCCATCTCCTTTGCGTTCAATTCTTCAAGTTCCGTTTTTTTTTTTTTAGCTGATTATTTTTATTTATTTATTTTGTCAGTCCTGGGGCTAGGGCTTGAACTCAGGGCCTGGGCACTGTCCCTGAGCTTCTTACCTCCAGGCTAGCGCTCTACCACTTGAGCCACAGCGTCACTTCCTGTGAATGTGGTACTGAGGAATCGAACCCAGGGCTTCATCCATGTTAGGCAAGCACTCTGCCACGGAGCCACGTTCTAAGTCCTAGCTGATTATTTTTCAGTCACCACAATTTTCCCCATAATTTTTGCTTCTCCCCTTAACAGTAGTTCTGAAGAACTCTCGAGTGGGTCACTGTTATTTGAACTGTTGTTTCTGGCTTTCATGTGCAGGCTTCCAACTTGATTTTTTTCCCCCAACTTGATTGTGTGTGTGTCTTTTTCTTCCAGTGTTTTGTTTCTGCCAAGCAACTATGCCAATATATAAGTTGCTGTTTCCACCTCTGTACCTTTTCTCATCTGAAGGAAGCTTTGTCTCTACCCAACTCCCTTCCACACAGTCTTGCACTTTGACCCAGTAGTGCCATTTCCAGTAATTTAGCCTGGATGCTGGAGGTGTGGCTCAAGTGGTAGAGTGCTGGTCTTGTAAGCGCTCAGGCCCTGAAGAATTCAATCCCCAGCCGTGCCAAAAAAAATAAATATTTTCTATTGGGCCTGTTGTATCTTACACTTGTAATCCTAGATATTTAGGAAGAGGCAGAGGAGGATTGAGGTTCAAAGCTAGCCCAAGCAGAGAAGTCTGAGAGACTCCATCTCCAAACTGGAGATGTAGCTTAAATGGTAAAGTGCCAGTTGGCCCGGAATATGAGAGAGAGTGAGAGAAAGAGAGAGAACGAGAACGTGCAGGAGCACAAGCACCCACAATGAGTTCAAGGGGCTGGGGGCAGGGGGCTCATGACTAATCCTAGCTATTCAGGAGGGATCTGAGGATTACTGTTCAAAGTCTGCCCAGGCAGGAAATGCCATAAGACTTTTATCACTAATTAACCGCCAAAAAGCCAGAAGTGGAGCTTGGCTCAAGTGGTAAGAGTACTAGCCTTGAGCAGAAAAAAGATTCATGTTTTGCATGAAACTGGGCTTTAGACCCCCAGGCCCAAAAGCTGGGAGTTCTATGTTAGGTCCAGTCACTCATTGGGGCTGAACTCTGGGCCTGGGCGCTTCCCTCAGCTCTTCAGCTCAAGGCAAGCACTCTACCTCTTACGCCACAGCGCCACTTCCAGTTTTCTAGTGGTTTATTGGAGATCAGAGTCTCACGGACTTTTCTGTCAGGGCTGGCTTTGAACCATGATCCTCAGATCTCAGCCTCCTGAGTAGCTAGGATTACAGGTGTGAGCCACCAGCGCCCGGCTCAGTCACTCATTTTCATATGCAAAATATAGAGATAAGATGAAGAGCAGAGAAAGGAGATTTATTACTTGGCAGCCTGGGAAGACAGCACTTCAGTACATCTTCAGCTGTCTGAATTCAGGAGAATTCAGGGCAAGGGGTGAGAAAGGTATGAGTAGTTCAGTTCCAAGTCACAGATGTGGCTTGGTTGACTGTGGAGGACAAGAAAGGTTGCCTTTTGTTGTCACAAGATGTTTATTGGTGAATTTGGTCTTTCCTGGAGCCAAGGTGATTGCAAACAAACTTCAGGAGGGAATAACTAAAATCAAAGCCCTTCTTTGACTTAATTCATAAATCTACCAAAAGCATTTTTAAATTGTTCTTTTATTCATAGTTATTATTGATAATAGTGGAATACTGCAAATAAAAATCCAAATATACTACAATATGGGATTGGTTAGTAAATTATGATCCATATGGTACAGACATGGTATCCATTAAAATGATGTAGTGGCTGAGAATGTGACTTAGTGCAGAGTGCTTGCCCAGCATGCCCAACTAGATATCCTGAGTTCAATTATTTTTCAATGCTGGGAATCAAACCTAGGGCTTCACCAGTGCTAGACAAGTGTTCTATTGCTAACCTATACCCTCAGCTTATTGATTATATATATGACTGTTTTTGGAATTAGTGTTTGTACTCAGGACCTAGAGCTTGCTAATCAGGGCCTTACCACTGGAGATATATATACCTTTAACCTCTAAAAAAGAATTTTAAGGGAGAGAAATGAGGGGCATTATGGAGAGGTTGAATCTGATCAAGGTACATTATATGCATATATGGTCATGTCAAAATAACCCCCTTTGGGGCTGGGAAGGTGGCTCAGTGTTGGAGTGCTTGCCTTGCATGCATGAGGCCCTGGGTTCAATTCCTCAGCACCACATAAGCAGAAAAAGCCGGAAATGGCTCTGTGGCTCAAGTGGTAGAATGCTAGCCTTCGAGCTGAAGAGCTGAGGGACAGTGCACAGGCCCAGAGTTCAGGCCCCACGACCTACAAGAAAAAAATAATAACCCCCCCTTGCACTTGATGCTAGTAAAAATGAGGGAAACATAATTTTAAACCTATGAACTTGATTATGTCACTTATTTCCTATAGTATTTTTTTGAATGTGTATGAACAGTTATATTTTAGGGCTATTATGTGTCTATTGAAAGAAATACAATGACAAAAAGCAACTAAAGTCACTTAGATACACCATTGGCTTTTCATGTGTGTGTGTGCATGTGCTGGTACTGATACTTGAACTCAGGGCCTGGGCACTGTCCCTTAGCTTTTCTGCTCAAGGATAGTGCACCTGTTGACACCCCCCCCCCGCCCATCCATTAATTGAAGACTCATGGACTTTCCTGCTGGGTTAGGCTTTGAACCACAGCCCTCAGATCTCAGCCTCCAGAATAGCTAGGCTTATAGATGTGAGCTACCTAATGCCTTAGCTGGCCTTCCCTTTCTAGATTTCAAAGTTTGACATGTTGCTTTGTAAGCTTGTAAAGTGCTTTGTGTTTAGGCAGCATGTACGTTCCTGAGTTACACTTAAAGCCAGTTATAGCCATAGAGAGATGTTTTACATTTGGTGCCTATTTTAGAACCATTTCTTGTAATTGATAAGTGAATGTCAGCAAGTGATGTCAGGTTTCATCTGCTGGGCCTGTTTCCTGTTCTTGAGCATCTCCACTAGAGGGCAGCATAGCGGGCTTAGAAAGGAGAGAAGGAAATTTGGCTGATCTTGTCTAGCCTCTCCTGTCTCAACCTGGTCAGAGCTCCTTATAGCACATGTATATCTCTGAACAACTTGAAGAGAAAGTTCAGTCTTTTGAAGTGAATTATATTCATACAAATGTTTATAAATTATCTTCTTGCAGCATGGGGAGAAAATATGGCAATTTTCCCGGGGATTTAATTGGAGGGGGGGGGGTGCTTGAACTCAGGGCCTGGGAGCTGTCCCTGAGTTTTTGTGCTCAAGGCTAGCTTTATTACTTTGAGCCACAGCTCCGCTTCTGGTTTTCTGGAGGTTAACTGTAGATAAAAGTCTGAAAGACTTTTCTGCCCCTGCTGGCTTTGAACTATGATCCTCAGATCTCTGCCTCCCG